CATCATTGCAGGCTAACAAGATACTGGACAATGCATTCAGCTTCCAAAGACACACTTAACCCCTATAAGCACAAAACCATCACTGAAAGTGAACAACCTGCTGCACAGGGATGAAAAGGGCTACTTGATGTCTATGCTCTCCATGTGTCCACAGGCAACTGTGGGAGGAAGAGTCAGGACTGACAGAGATTAGAAACTTGAAGCAAAAGGAATCCATGTCAGGCAGCTTATGGAGAACATTATGGGGAAAATATTTGGACAAGAATCAACTTGCATAGGAAATTCATCAGTCACATCTGAAAACAGAGAAGCACGAATGCTTTGACAGCACCAGCTGATTATGCAGACTTAACGAATCAGGTCATGAATGTAGCGTACGCACACAGATACAGCTCTGAAAGGCAAACACATCATCTATTAAACATGCTCACAAGCATTTCTTTGATTTGCACCTGTAATGTCATTTCTTGGCCCAGAAAACTAACCCATTTTCAACACTTCCCATGCGTTTAGCCTTTCTCACCACTGGTTTCACAAGGACTATGTCTGCCTGGCAAGTTGCTACACTACTAAAAAGATGTTTAATTCAGATGCGTGCATGAGTACAACCGAAGTCTAATTGAAATGTGGAAGGCTTTTCGCAGCCAAATCTTTCCTCTTGCACAAATCAGACTGAACAACTAACTCCTTAAGCCTTTAAAAATTAAACCTACACATCAATGTTTTCAGATGCTGCCCTGCCAGGGCACATTTAAGAGTTTTCTTTAACAGATACAACAGTAGCCTTGGCTTTTCTATCAGTGATATGGTGGAGAGGGTATACAGCCAAAGACTAGGTGTGCAGATCTAAAGCTGTGAAAGTACCCACCCCACACTAAACCATCCCACTGCAATTCCAAATGCCAAGGTAAGGACATTTTCCTTTGACCAGACCAGGTTATGAGGTCAAACCCGGGTTGACATTCACATCCAAATCGCATGCACAAGAAGGAAGATGTGCATTCTCACAAGTTGTACCTGCAAGTTAAACTTGAGGATCACGTTTCCAGGCTCAAACTACCTTTCCCACAGTAGCAGTTATGCTTGCCTTCAATGTTTGTAAGAGAGCCACTGGCACCTCTCAAAAGACTTTCTTCTTCATCCCAGTCTCCCTCTGTAGAAGGTGATCAAAGCTCATCACAAGCACAGCAAGGCACAGCTAGAAACCATGCCTTTGGTTGAGCCAGCCAACACAAAGTGATTTCTTGGCATGAACATGATTTAGTATGTCCTTAAAAACATCACCTGCTCTGCGTGCTTTGGGATTTACTGCAGGAGATTCAGACTCTGCATGGATAAGCAACGCAGGGAGAAGAGAAAGAAAACTTGAAATGCATAAGCCTGCCAGGCTCCGGGATGAAGGGTGCCCATCAGCCCTGCTTGCTGTGCTCGCAGAGGGGAAGAAGGCAGCAAGGTGACACTCCCCAAGGACTGGAGGCATCTTTGCCAATGCTTTTACCCTGCAGTACTTTTAGGGCCCTGAACCCAGCATTACAGAATGCACTGCATGTTTTAGCCTCAATTCTCAGGGCTGAACAGTAGTAACATGAAAGGATCAATCAAAATCCCAGGGAAAACATTGGAGGATGTTTATTTTAATGCCCACTTCTGGATGCCTGCGCTCACTTCCTGGGCCTCCTGTAAGTAATGGAGCATTCACTAACATCTCATCATCCTTGAAACAATGGATTTACCAACACACCCAGCCAGGCTAGTACATCACTTGCCTCACTCCATCACACCATGGGGCCAAAACGTCTGGTGTCCTGCCCCTGTCAGTAGCCATTCCCTGGCATTATAAGAGGTGGAGAAGGGGAGAGTCCTAATGACCCTAGAGTGTAGTGCCCTGCATAAAGGCATAGGGCTGTAAGATGGCCTTTCCAATCCTTGCACCACAGGTTCTCATTATTTAATGTCAGATTTCATACCCATTTATCTTTGCATAACTACACGCATTCACTGCACGTAGGGTTTTAGTCAGACTTTTATGGTTTTGTTTTTTATCAGGGTCCCAGGAAAAGGTTTTGTGCTGAGCTCGGTAACGTGGCCCCATTGATTCAGCATAACCTGAACTGCCACAAAGCAGATGCTCAGCTTTACCATGCAGTACCCACACAGCAGGCTCTGCCACAGGCCAAAGCTCGCCTTCAGACAAACAACTCCTAGATTCCTCCCTCGTGCAGTTATACCCAGGTAGGATTTCCTATTGCTGCCGCCACCAGGATGCACCTGCAGCTCCCTACCGCACCTCGCCCATACAAGAATACAGCGGTACAACCCCCTGATCCTCTTGAGGCAGGTCCGCATCCTCCATCCCAAACCTTCCCCTCTGTTTCCAGCCTGTTCCCTTTCACAGCCCTGCGTGCAGCTCATCCCTTACGGAGCTGCTCTTCCCTGTCCACACCTTCCGATCTCCACATCCCACTCCCATCCCGCTTCCGGCCTCTCTTCCACCGCATACCTGTCCACCAGCTTCCACACCCTCCCCTCCCCAAAGCACTGCTCCCATTCCTGCCCCCGTACAGCCCTCGCCCCACACAAACGCTTCACCCCGGCCCCACAGCTCTCTACCCCCCAATTCAACCCTGCAAACCCCTGCAGCTCCAGGCTTACCTCAGCCCCCACATCCAGCCCGACCCCGATCCCCAGCCCAAAGCCCTTCTCCTCGACCCTACCTCAACCGACAAGTCCCGCTTCCGCCCCAGCCCGCCCCCCCGGAGCCGCCCCACGGCCCGACCCCCCGCTCCGGGCCCACCTTGTCCATGAGCTTCCAGCACTTCTCCACCATCTTCTTGTCCACGGCGCCGGGCTGGTGCGGGCCGAGGTGGTGGTGGTGCGGCTGGAACGCGTCCTTCATGAGCCCGATCAGCCCCCCGGGGCCCTTCTTCAGCGGCGCCGACATGAGGACGGCGCGGGGGCGGGGGGCAGCCGCGAGCGGGCCCACACCCGCGCCCGGCCCGTCCCCCCCGTCCTGCACCGGGCCTCGGCCCTGCAGGACAACCGGACGTGCGGCCGCTCCCGGGGGCCGGGCAGGGCCGGGCCGGGCCGGGCCGGGCAGGGCAAGGCGGCGGCAGCGGGAGCCGCGGGCGGTGGCGGCGGTGGCGGCGGCAGCGGCGGGGGCGCCCGGCTCCAGCGTGGCCCCGCCCTCCGCTCCGGACACGCTGCGCGCTGATTGGCGGGACCGCCCCCTCCGCCTGGGAGGAGCCGGCGCTGATTGGCCGGTACCCGCGGCCGAGGGAGGGGGAGCGGGGAGAGGGGAGAGCCGCGGCCCGGCCGCCAGGCCCCGCCCGGCTGCCGTAGCACAGGCGAAGGGCGGCGGCGAGGGCGGCGCGGCCGCCATGTTTGATGAGGGCGGGCGGGGCGGGGCGCGGTCGCCATGGGAACGGCGAGGGCCGCGCCTGGGGCGGGCCCGGCTGAGGGGCCCGGTGGCGGTACCGTTCCGAAGGCTGCGGAACGGGATCGGTTCCCGTTTCCAGGAGCAGGTTCCCGTTTGTTCGAAGGGCCGAAAGGGGAACGGCACGGCCGTGTGCACACAGGGGGAGAGCCGGCAGAGAAACGGAACCTTTCCGAGCTGACAGCACCGAACCTGCGGAGATCATGGCGTGTGCTCAGTTCCGGGTCTTCGCTGCCTTCAGATCCTCTTTTCAGCCTCCTTCCTCCTGCCTGTTGGCTCCTGGTGAGGTCTCGCCCAGCGCACGGCGTGCTGAGGCATGGGATGAGCAGGACAGAGCAGCACCAGGTGTAGGGAAGGAGCCCTGCACACATCGCTTGTTAAACTGCCTCGATTTTACTGCCTTTGGTAAATACGGCTTTAAAGCCTCGTCTGGCTTTAATTACCTGGGCAAATTTTCCTCAGGATTATATCGACCTCAAATATGTCAGCGCTTATTGAGGCCGTGTTCCTGAGGCTTTTCCCATTAGGTGCTAATGGATCCTGGCGAATAGTCAAGCCGGCTTGACCACCGGAGGGTGCCCGAATACCACAGGTACCTGGCGAGAGGGCTGGGGAGGGGAACACCAGCTTTGTGGAGCAAAAATCGCCATGGCCCCAGTCCAAAGAGATCAGGGAACGTGCTTGAGCAATTGCATTCCCAACTGTCTGCTTCCCTGGGCAGGATTCACTCCACGTTACAGCTGTGTTTTTATACGGGGCTTCAAGCAAAGGGGGCTTCTGCCCGGGACGATGCCCTCCCTGCAGGAAGGAAGAGCCAAGCACCTCTTTGCTTCTATCCCTCAGGCCCATGATGGGGATGGGCACAGCTGCACTGGAAAGCCACGTCCTGCTGGTCGAGTGTGTCTCGGTGCCTCTGGCTCTCCGTGTGCATCTCATGCATGTATGGCTGCGGGCAAGAGCAGCCTTTAGGTCCCAAGGCAGGCTTCCCCTGGGCCAAGAGCTGCTCTTGGCTCTGCCCCTTCCTTCTTCCCTCTGGCTGCAGAAAGAGAAGCACTGGAAAATGGCACTGGAGGTTAACGTCCTGAAAGAGCCCCTGGGTAAGGTTGGAAGGAGCCAGGGGCCACGCCAAGCAAGGGATGCTGTGGTGGGGAACCCCCCTGGAAGTGCTTCCTTAGCACAGTGCTGGGCTGAGACAAAGAGGTTTCTTGCTATGGGATTAACTCTTGTTCAGGCAAGCCTTGGAGCCATGTGTAGGCTGAGGTGGTGTCCACATCCCCCTTGGCTTTGGGAGCAGACAGGCTAGGAACAAATCACTGCTGGTCTGATGCTCCAAGAAGGTACTGGGCAGGGAATAGCCACCCAGTATGGTTTGGATGGTGCCCTTTGCCTGCCTGTCCTCAGGCCAAGGTTGTGGTGTGGGTCACTTGGCAGGAAGCACATTGTCCCTAGGGCATCCCTGTGCATCTCAGGCTTGCTGTTCCTTGGAGGTACATGAGCTGGCAGGCAAAAGCTGACAATGAAGGGCTCAGGCAGAGGCTTTGGGACCTGAAGGAGGCACCTGAGCGAGACACTCATGAAGCTGAGGGCAGAAGTGGGAGGGAGGGGGCAGTGGCACAAAGCCAGACAAGTTTACCCCACCCTTCCTTTTGGCCTTGACCCCTCAGCCCCAAACCACCCTGCTGTTGGCTAGCCCTTCTGCCTCCTATGCCGTCAGCACACAAAGGCTGACTCATACAGATGCCTGTATTCAACGCAGGCAGATTCCCCTGCCTCCAAGAGGCATTCCCTTGCCATTTCCATTAGTGCTCAAGAAGGGGCTGCTTTCAGCAGAGGTAAAACCTCAGGCAGAGGTTTGCGGTCTTTGCCACATGCAAAACTCTGCTCATTTTCACTCTCCCACGCTCCACAGAGGCAAAACTTTCCCTCCAGGGCTTCCCCCTGCCCCCGGCATCGTCACAGCCCTGCCAGGCAGGGAGAGGATGCAGATAACTGCTTCTGCTGTGTCACCGAGGTGACACAAAAGGGTGTGTGATTAAGAAACGCTCTCACTGCTCCCTGTACACGCCAAGTCCTCTGTTGAGGACTGACAGAAGCCCTCACAGTGTTAAAAAAGGATGAAATTAGCTTCCTTTAATCATCCTTTCGCTGTAATTAACTAGGAACAATATTACACTGGTGCCTAGAATCCCTCCTGGCCAACTCTAAGGTGGCCTGTGCCATCTGTTAGTCCTCACTTCATCTGCCACGTGCCTTGCGTGCAAGCACCAAGCTGTTTCTCCTCGCACTGTCCCGCTAGGCAGGAATAAAGGGAGGCTCAAAACCCCAGGATGGTTTATTTGTGGGTATAGAGTATGCCACGGCCATAGGAGCAACTGCAGAGATGAGCAGGACTTAAGGTGTTTTGTGATGGCCTTGGAGGATGAACACAAAGTTACCTCGTTTTCTTTGGAGATGCCTCCTAAACATGGCTCTGAAGCAGTTTTTCCTATGCTTTAAGGATATACAATTAACAGATGAGGCAGAGGCAAAAAGAGACACAAACACAATGCAATAGTTTTTAACCTGGCTTGATTAATGCTGTCAAGTTGCACATCTGAGTGTGAGCTCAGTGGGACTGTTGCTTTTGTTTAATACCACAAGACACCTCAGTCTGGATTGTTGCATTACAGTACAAATAAAAACCAGAAACAAAACCACATCTGCATCATACAGGGTGAGAAGATGAGAATCCTAAATATTTACAGAGAAGGGCAAGGGGAGAAAACCACAAAAAATATTTACATAAAAATACAGGAGCTTGTCAGCATATACATTTTACACCAGTTCACAAAAAAAGACACTCTATAAATTAAAGTGAAGGGAACTCCAAAGGGAACCCAAGACTTTCTGCGAGGTTTTTCTCTCATGCGGCTCAGGGAAAGAAAAATCAAGTCTTTTACAGCAGGAAAAGGAACTGCAAAACAACCCTTTCCTCCTCCCTCCCCACAACCGGATGAGGCAAGGCTCCACACACACAGGTTTTATGTCTGTTGAGACCAGACCATGCCTTTCACCATCAGGGATCTGCAGCACGAGGCTCTGGGGAAACTGCTGCTCTCCTAAGCTGCCTCTAAGGGAAGCAAACCAGGTTTTCATCCATGTTTCCTAATGCTTCAGTCACTGTACTGATGACCAGAGTACACATGAGGGTCTGTCCCTCTCTGGAGGTAGAGAGGAACAGCAGGTTTTCAAGTTGGTTTTGGTTTGGTGCAGCAACTTACTACCACTGTGCAATCCTTACTGACACCCCCCCCCCCCCTTCAAACGATGAGCATAAAGCCAGGACCTCTGGAAAGACAATAGGCACAAAGTTGTGGGTGTTTTGTCTGGGCATATAGATTTCACCTGATAAAGACTCTTTAAAAGGGAGACATTAATACTTTACTTAAGACTTCATAGGGACTAGGTCCTCATTACCCAACATCTGCACTCCCCCTGGCTCTAAAGTCTCTGCTCTGAAGCAGAGGTGACAATCCAGTGTCACCTGCGTGCGTTAGGGAGAACCTTGGCTGGAAACCTGGGAAGTGGCAATTTCAGACGCAGACAGCTTGTGGCAACTTAGAAGGGTGTTACTTCAGAACATAGCCGCTTGTCGTATCACTGGAGATAGGGTTAGGCAAGGAATTACTACTCGGGGCAGAATGGGACTTGCAGTAAGTGTTTTTTGTGTTGCCCTCCCATTTCTCTGCTAGGACCCTAAGAACTGAACAACCAACTCACAGGTCCTACTCACACATCTGGTGTAACCCCCCCCTCCTCACCCTGATGCATGATGCCCTCTGTAAGCTCAGCTATGATTTGGGGATGTTTTGACTTGATGCTGACTCAGTTGATGAGGATAACCACAGTACAAAAGGACTGCATAGTTCACTGTATGGCTTTGTGCGGGGTGGATGCGGGACGCCTCCTGAATTGTACTCAATGTTTAAGCCATGGGCAGTAGCTACACTAAAAGAAAGGTGCTGGTGTACTATTCTCTGGGAAAAGCTGGTGCCTTAACCTTGCTTTCTGTTTGCCTTCTTGCCCTTGTGGCTCAACACTAACGTACAGCAGTTACTTTGGGCTCTCGGAGAGCTTGCAGCCCTTGAAGTACGCGCTCATGTGGCTGTGTGCAGAGGGACAGTAAGTTCCCTGATGCCTTTTTTAGATGGAGACCTTATTCTCAAGAGGAAGGCTGCGTGTAGCAGCCACCTCACTTCCAGAAGCCCTTTACAGCTTTTCCTTCCCATGGGTGACAGGGTACTTGGCACCTCACACAATGCACCGAGCAGCAGGGCCCAGGCTCAGGCAGGAGTAGTGATAAGCCCGTAAGGAACAGAAATTGTCCAAGGATGGCACTAGAGGGAGACAGTGGCTTTGAGCAGGAAAATCCAGGGAGGCATTGACAATTCCTGGGAGCTGGACTCAGCTCCCTCATAGTAGGATAGTCCTGGTTAACCTAAGGCCAAACTGGAGGTTAGGAGAGTTGCTGTGGGGCAGGAGTGGGGAGTTAAGGCTTCCACAGAGAGAGAAGGTTGACCTCCAGCTCTCATTACCTGAATCCCAAATAGCCTGAACCAAACACGTTGTCCCTGCTTTGACTGGAGATCTCAGCAGATAACTTGGCAGTTGTGGGGAGACTGTACTACAATGCCTGAAGACTGCTACTAGTCCTAATACAACATACACCTCTACTGAGAGAGCAGGTACTCAACAGTGGACTCACTTGGTGCGCTTGCACTGAGGAACCCGGACAGGTCAGCCCTTCCCTATGGAGTCAGCTAGCAATGCGCAACGTGGCTCACCTCGTGGCCCCTTTCTACCTATTCTTGTCACTTTTCCTCCAAAGAAAACATTACAAAACCCTGACCCCTCTAACCTGGTGATGACTCCCAAGGAGATGGTGGTAACCTGGCTCACACTGCTGCTTTTTCCTTTATCCCATTCCCCCCCACTGCTGCCAGATTCAGTTCTGTAACACCGCAGAACCACTCTTCTCAACATGATGTTTAAACCAACAGCACTGCACAATGAAACAGGACCAGGAGGTGGTGCCACTGCAACAGCCCCAGATGGGGCTACATGATGAAAAAGAAGTTAAAGGCTAGGTAGCAACTAGAAACAGGCTTTCCTTGCGATTTAAAACAGCCATGGAAGTTTTGTTCTATCATTGTGAGCTTTAACAGCTGTGTGCTGACTGCAGAACCTCCAGGGTTTTAATAAAACATTTAAGAGATTCAACACGGGTAGAAAAGCTCTTCCTTCAACCACACGGAACAGGAATGGCCTTGGAATTTCTTGGTGAACATGTAAAAAGTAATTCAGTCTCAAGTATTGCTTGCAAAGCCCTGCTTAATGAAATGGATGTGCTTTATAAGGTGAGGTTGTAAGGCATCCTGGGATGCCCATTTTTATTCTCTTTGACAATATGGAAAGCTTTTAAATACCTAGGACAACGTGGTTAGGGTATTAAAGAGCGCACTGACCTTCTGTCCCTACTGCTAACTGAACACTGGTATGAGCTTCGATTGCAATACGGGAGGCAATGCTATTTCACAGCACACAGACAGCACGTAACTAACTCTGTATGTGCCACAGCTTCACAGGGATCCCCCTGCCAACACAGAACTTAAAGGTTACAGAAAGCCATGTCCTGGAGACCTTCCTTGAGGTCAACAGGAGCATTCCCTGATCTAAGAGCTGCAGAATCTGGCCCGGGGCTAATAGCTGGTCATGCAGGTAACTCCACACTTACACAGTCATTCCCAGCTGGTATGTCTGGCTCCAATTTACAAGCTGGACAGAACGCTTAAGAGACTTTATAGTATTGTTTTGTAGAGATGATGCTGTCTGGCCAGCCACTACACAGCATCACATTGCCTGGACCGGAGACAGCCTAGCAGTAAAGAGGAATTGGCATGAAATGGGCGTGCTGTTCCCAAGGGGTGTGCATGGTTTGGTGTGGTTTTGTGTTGTTTCTTTTGGTATGCGAAATGCAAACTGCCCTACTTGGCTCCCATAGAAATTGCAAGTAATTGATTTCTTGTAGTCAGAAACAGCTTGGAAGTGAGCAATTTAGACTGTGTGCTGTATTCTGAGCTTGCTTCAGAGCCTATTCCACAGGCTTCAAGTGAAAACTGGCTCCCACCCACTTCAAAGCAATTGAAATGGATCCACGAGGCCTAAGCACTAATTTTCAGGGGAGACCTCAGCATTTATCAGGAAAATACTTGGGAATTCTTCCCCCCCCCATCCAGTTCTTGCTGTGCAACCTTGTGGGGGGGCAGAACATTGGTTTTCCAAGGCCTGTATGGAGCCCCTTGCTGAGAAGCTGGCAGTGGGAAGGGAAAAGAGCTGCATGCACAGTTCCTCATGCATGGGGGAGGACGTGGCGCTAACTGCCAATGGCAAAGGTGGGGAAGGACAAGCATTTCCTCCCCTCCCTGCCCCAACAGCATCTCTTTCAGCTCTGCCCGGCCTCTCTGGCAACGTCTGTGTGCCAAGAGCCTGCCCTATCATTCCAGTTGTCTCAAAACTACATGGAAAAGCTCTATCTCTACTACATAAAAACAGTGAGTGGCGGGGCTGGGGTGCTGCAGGGGGGTTTGCTTTGCTCATCGGGGCAGGATTGGTTTGTGTTTGTGGGGTTTTTTTCCATCACTGAAAAAATAAAACAGTCCACTGTCCAGCAGAGGCTGCTTAGACTCTATCCCACCTTCCCCCCCACCAACTCACTCGACGTGGACCTCTGTTTCAGGCCTCTGCAAACACAGCTCCGTCGGGAGGAAGGCTCCCTGGCCGAGCGCCGTGGCGTAAGTTCTACTGTGCACATGGGTAAAACTGGGGGGCACAAACCCCCCTCCTCCAACATAGCCCCCTCTTTGGTGCTGAGGCATGGTATGGTAATCCTCCAAATTATCATACTGGGACACCACAGTCATAGTGCTTTGGCGTTTCCCAAGGGTTTGGTACGGGTAGAGCAGGGCTGAGTCCCTCTCCATGGGGTCGGGGTGCTGCATTCTGAGGCTGTGGCTCCGTTCGGGCTTGGGCGGCGGTGCCATAGGGGAGGCAGCGTGTTCCTCTTCCTTATAGCAGTCTCTGGAGTGTTTCTCCATGGACGTGGTGGGTCTGCCTCGAGACCTCTCCAAGTCTGGCCTGTCCTCTGCCAACCTCACCTCCTTGTGGTTCAGTCTCAGGGTCTCCTGGTTCCCCGGGATGTACTTGCTGCCCGCATGCTGGTAACCGATGGGCTCAGAGGGCTCGGGGCCACCTTTGGGCCTGTAGTCAGGATAAGGGGGCCCGTTTTTGGGTTCAGAAGGCTGCCTATGGCTCGCTTCCTGCTGCAAGTGTGTCCTGTGTTCGTTTGTGCTGCAGCCTGGCTCATGAAGCTTCCTGTTCCGGATGCTGCTCTGCTTCTGGGGAAGGGATGGCTTCTCTGACTGCCCATTCCCGTAGGCCCCGTGGTAGTGGGCTCTCTCCAGCTCTGGCTCAGGGTGCTGCATGTAGTAACGCTCCTCGCCCTCGGGCGTAGCTGCTTTGGCCGGGTACCTCCCCTCCTTCCCTTCTGCCACGGTGAGGAGGCCAGTTTTCCCAGGATCTGACTTGCTGCGCAAGTGTATCACATCCAGTCCTCCCAGATCCTCCTGCAGCAGTGGGGCCACGTTGTCATACTGGGACATCACCGGCCCTTTCACCTTCTGGCGCGTGCGGCTCTCCCGGCGAATAGACTGCATGCGGTACTTCTCCATGTCCTCCAGGTCCCAGGACATGTACATGTGCTTGATGTCTGGGGCAGGTGGCACGTCTCTGCTGATGAAGCTGTGCTCTTTGCCTGCAAGGTGGCCGATGAGGCCACCCCGAGGGTAGGCTGACAAGCTGGGGTAGCGGTACAGGCCCTTGCTCTGCAGCCGTGAGGCATAGGAGGCAAAGTCTCGGCTGGGCAAGGGGTGGAAAGGCCGGACCCGCACGGTGCTGTAGGGATCCAGGTCGTAAAAGCTCCCATCAGCAGTGGTGTAGTAAGAGGATGCAGAAGAGCTGGAGTAAGGGCTGTACCGGTAATGCACCCTCCCGTTCTCAAAGTAAGGCTGCAGCTGAGTTACGTGGTAGTCGGAGTGGGGCTGATATGGCTTGTACTGATAGAGGGGCCGCGGGCAGTACACTGGCTCATCATCCGGAGGGACCTCGGTCCGTGAAATGGGAACAGAGCGGATAGCGGAAGCAGCAGGGGTGGGCACGTGCAGCGACTGGACCCTCCGGATTGTGGGGTAGGGGGGAGCATCCTCGGCATAGCCGGCGCTGCGCAGCCCCGTTGGGCTCACGGAGGACACAAACTCTCTGCGAGGCTTGGAGTGCAGGGCAGAGGTGCTCTTCCCTTGGGTGGTGTAGGTGTTGTAGCGAGTGCCCGCGGACGCAGGCGTCTCGGAGCGAGGAGGGTAGGCTTGGTGCTGGTCGGGCTTGCTGTGGTACATGTGCGGAGGAACGCTCTCGGGCCTGTACTGGTGGACGGAAGCTGGCTTGTGGTGCAGGTAACTGTCTGGACCAGAGGGCTCGGGGATGCTCTCTGGCTTGGGATGCGGCACGTACACGGTCTGCAGGGAAGCGTGCTTGGGAGGAGGGGGTGGTGGTGGCGGCGGCAGCAGGGCTTCCTCCATGGAGGAGGCCAGCATGGAGGAAGAGAGGAAAGCGTGGTAGTTGGAGTTGTTGATGGGGTCTGCGTTGTTCAAGTGCATGGCGGCAGCGATCTTGCTCTCCAGCGTTCTCACAGGTGGGACAGGGGGTGTGAAGCTGTAGGAGGGGTGAGTAGGGACGGACTCAGACCGCAGGTGCAGCGGGGGAGCCCTCGTCATCTCCCGAGGCTTTTCCACATGGCTCTGGTGACCCGTGGGCACAGAAGAGGAGGAGCAGCGGGTGGTGGAACTGCCTTCTGGGACAAAGCCAGGCGTGGGCTCCGGTGGCTTCTCAGGTGTGGCTGTGGCCCATGCCTACAGAGAAAGAACTGGTTAGACACAAGTCTTCCCCCTCCCGTTCTGTACTTAAAATCATAATGGATTAGTTCAGTTTAAGTTCTGGTTTGCTCTGGAGAGCTGGTGTGCCTCTGGAAAAGAGGAGATGTGGAAGCTCCCCCACTCTGCAAAAGCAAGGGGCTGGTGGTGCCTCTGGGAGGTGTTGGGACCCATCACAAGTGGCAATCTAGGGCAAGGGGAGAAGCTGTCTGTCTATAGCAACAGGTTGAAACTTCTCCACAGTGTTTTGCTTACAAATACACTTAGTCAAATGAAAATGCACCTGGAATTAAACTCCTCACACCCTGGTGAGCAGATCAAGGGATACAGCAGAAACCCCTCCTTTAAACGTGGCTATGGTGCTTCAGACAGGCTGCAGCAGCTTGGATTTCTGACTGGATGTCCAACCCTCATGCAAGGAATCTGAGGGCA